GGCTGTTGAATCCAGTGATTCTAGTTCTAGATTAGTCTCTAACTCAGTGAGTGTGATCTTGGACATCTGCTGACCCTCATCTGTACCATGAGGAGTATAATGCCTGCAAGACAGGTATAATTACTTCTCCTTGGGCGAATCCTTGGCCATATTTCGCATCTGCATATATTTATCTATGAGCATGCTATATCTCCCCAGTAGAATGTAATTTTCTTGAGGGTAAAGGACTATCACACTTTGGTGAGAAAGTGACTGGCATATGGTAGGCACTTAATAGATGCCTGTTGATTGATTGATTACAAAATGTGAAAAGTACTAGAAAAAGCAAAAGCACTGTTGTTTCATCATTATTACCTAATTTCTGTAACAGAAAATTAATGACATAGTTAAGTGCATTACAAGAACTTTTGCTATAAAATCACCTAGTGATCAGGGCCTAATGATGAATATGTGAAGTTGATGATAGGACTTGTTATTTGTTGATTGATTGTTTTTTTGGCTAGGCATTGGGGCTAAGTGACTTGCCCAAGGTCACACAGCTAGTAAGTGTTACGTGCCTCAGGCCGGATTTGAACTCAGGTCCTCCTGACTCCAAGGCTGGTGCTCTATCCACTGCACCACCTAGCTGCCCCAGGACTTGTTATTTGTAGTCTAAAGAGCCATGACTCAGCCTTCTTCAAGATACTCCCATACTGACCAGAAACAGGTAGCTTGCTATTGAAGTGTATGGCCATCTGACTATCCATTTTCTAAATGAAATTGAGAAATGTAATAAATTTGGAAAATAGACTGTAAGCTATTCTAGAGTTACCAAATTAAACTTCCTTTGATGATTGAGAACACTTTGTTTTCAAAATTCAAAAAAAAATCTCAAGAGTTAATTTCTAAGACTACAGATGTTTCACCTGCGCCAAACCAGAAAAAAAATGCATGTAGAAAATTCCATTTTAGTTTAAAAAAAAAACTTAAGAGAGGGCAGCATGATACAGTGGAAGGTGTGCTGAAGTTGGTGTCAAAGGACCTAGGTTCCAGTCCTACCTCTGATGCTTACAGTAGTGGTACCTCACTGCCTGAACCTTAGTTTACTCATGTGTAAAACTTAGTAGAGATAAATGTAAAGTCCTACACTTATGTTAAGAAAAAAAAAACCTGAAGGGCACCAGACACAAATTCGGGATGGAAAGATACAAGATAACAGTTCCTTTAAAAAATTATCTGGCAATTTTAGTGGACATGAACTTACAAAACATAATAGCTGTACTTAGAAAAAGTAGAAAGTATTAGATATATTTAAGCTGTATTATGATTATCTTATTTCTAGAAGAGATGATTCATTCTGGCCTTAAATTATTATAAAATCACTCCCTATTGGCTAAATACATTACAACCTCAAGGTATTAGTCTGTCACTCTAGTCAGTCGCCAAGTATTTATTCTACCTCTAAAATTCTTCTTGCACCTGTTCCTTTATTTCTACTTACGGTCACTACTCATTAACTATTTATATTGCTTCCTAAATTATCTCCCCACTTCCAGTATGTCCCTTTTCCAATTCAGAGTCCACACAGCCACCAAATTAATATTCCAAGGACACATATTTGACCATGTCAGATCTCATTTACCCAAAAATCTTTAAATGGTCCCTATTGCATCTAGAATAAAATACAAAATTCAGTCTGGTATTTAAAGCTCTTCACAGTCTGGCTCCAACTTACCTTCTTGACTTCTTTGATATTATTTTTCCCTTCCCCATTCCAGTCAAACTGGTCTTTCCCCTGAATTTTGCATTCAAACTCCTATCTCTGTACCTTTGCAAAGGTTTGTCCCCTTGCTTGGGCTGTGGGCCTCCTCACTTCTGCCTTTTCAAATGATTAGCACCTTTCAAGGACTTATCACCACTTATTTATTACCTTCTACATGAAACCTATCCTGATTCTTCCAGTTGTTTGTCCTTCACTCCTTGCTGAAATGATTTCATATTTGCTTTGTATATCATCTGATTTACTTATATGCCCCAGAGAATGTAAGCACCTTGAGGGCTGTGACTATTGCATTTTTGTCATGTTACCCCCAGTTTCTAGCATAGAGCTTTGTACCTAGTAAGCATTTATTTTACACTTGGATTGTATTGAACTGAAGCTCAACCTTAAAAGGAGTCAAGAGTATGACAAGCAAATAAAGGCTATATCTTAGGCTACGTTCAGCTTTACAGATATGTTGTTGATAGCAGCAGTGAATACAGTTTGGGGTGGGGGGCAGGTTTAAGGCTATTACTCCTGCTGCATTCTACTCCCTCCTCCATGGTACTAAGTCAGAATTACTAATCACTTATTGCTTCTGGTCCATAAGCGAGAGAGAAATATTTCAAAGTCTGATTCAGAATACACTAACTTCCATATTTTGTTGATATGATGTATGAATTAGTATTCTAGTCATCTGTCTAAGTAACTTGCCTTTGATTAATTTTATTTTGATGATTGTAAATTTGTGCCAATTTGAGATCTATGTACAGAAAAGCTATTATGTAACTACTCTTCTATCTTCTTATGAAGACTATAAAACTAAGCCCAGCTAATGCACTAATTTCAAGAAATATGACAAAATTTCAGAGTTGCAAAGTAATATAGTTGTTCCCATTGTGTTTACAATAACAGGATTTGACCAAGAGTATAAGATATTATGATTTCTTTGTAAAATAGATCAAAGAATAGTTGTCATTGACCCTATCAATCTTTTTAAAAATCCTGACAGTGAAAAATTCTTAAATTTTTTTTATTTTCAGCAGCATTAACAAAACACATACATACACACACACACACACACACACACACAAATTTTAGTGAAAAAAGGAAAGAAGGATTAAAAAAAACCAGTAGTAATTAACCCAATGACTTATTCCACATACAACCTGAAGTATGGGAAGCATGCTATTAATATAGTCCCTCCCCCAAAGACTTAATAATTATTCATATGTATATGCATATACATATGAAGAATTACACATATAAAGAATTTTGCATATGCATATATACACATAGAGAGGTTTTACCTTCATACACATATATGGATGGATAGATGAATGGATGTACATATGTATGCATGTATTTGCTACTCCTACTCTGGGGAGGGGATACAGGGAGTTACTCTGTCCCAGTTGAGGTTTTGGGGAAAGAATAACCCCCTGGGTGCCCTTCCAGAGTAGGAGTCACAGAACAAACCAACCTACTGTCAATAGATGATCAAGGTGCTCCTAGGTTGAAATGAAATGCCCTGAAAATTGAAAGAAGAATAAAATAAGTTGGCAAGTATATAAGGAGGTCATTAGGTTTAATAGTCTGAGCAGCCAATTGGAAAAGAAAAAAAATTGTGGATTGTGTTCCCTGTTGAATAGCTATTAAATATTGAGCAGGTCTCAAGATCTCTGCTCTAATACCAAAGGACAGTCCACAAAGTGGAATTCAGCAAAGTTTAGGTCTATCTTGGATTCCATATAAGAAGCTACAATACCAAAAGAACATTATTACATAGAGTGGTCTCCTATATATGATAGCCCCACATGCACCAGTGTATTATATATTAATGGAACATTTATAATTGTAGAAGAAAGGCAGTGTTGCTAGCTGGGTGGCACAATGGATAGAACACTGGACTTGGAGTCAAGAAGACCTGAGTTCAAATCCATATTTATTTGCTGTAGGACCCTGGGCAAATCACTTAACCTCCCTCAACTTCAGTTTCCTCATCTGTAAAATGGAGCTAATAATATGTAACTCCTATGGCTATTGTAAGGATCAAATAAGATAATATTTATGAAGTGTTTTGGAAACATTAAAGCACTATGTTATTGTCAGCTATTATTATTATTGCATAGTTAATATGCAATTATATCCATGGTACAACAATGGCTATTTGGATATTGTATGTGTAGTTAAATAGCAATTCAAGTCCTGCAGAGGCAAGTGGAGGCTGAGTACTAGACTTTGATTAAAGATACTTGTGTCCAAATTACAGTTCTGCGCCTATGAGCTGGTATGACTTTGGGCAAGGAAGTCTCATTCAACCTTAACATTTATTAAGTCCCAACTGCGCTGAAGATACTGTGCATGATCCTTTGGATACAATAGCAAAACAAAAAAACAGTCTTTTAGGGTCTTATATTTTACTTAATCCACCTCTTTCTGTATCTCTAGAGGATCTCAAAGGGTCTTGCCCGTGCAAGTATTCCATAATGAAATCAGAGACAACAATGAAGAGGTAGTATCTTGAATAGGCAATTAAGACTATCATATAAGACTGTGGAAGCTCCTTTCCACCTCATTCTATAGTCCTTCAAAGGAGACAAGGCACAAGAGAATGGTGTGACAGAAATGGTCCTGGATTTGGAATTCAGAGGCACCAGGTTTAGATCCTACCCCAACTCTGTTACTGACTGTGTGACTTTGGACAAGTCCCATACCTGCTTGGTTTTCCCATCTGCTAATTTATTACCCTGTTACTTTTCCTAGCTGTGAAGATTGATGAATGTTGCAATTGGCTACAGAAGAAAGTTTTCTCCAGAGGTTCTGAGAACAATAATAGATTTCTTATCTATTGGAGATAGTTGACTGTAGGGCAGAGCTATGGACTTGAAGACCTTTTTATATCACTTCCAACCCTCTAATTGCTGTGAAAGGATCAGAGCATTCAAATAACATAATTTCAAGATCCTGTTCCTGAGGGTAGAGTTCTAACCACTCCACAAGGTTACTATACGTAATAACAAGAAAAAAAATGTTTATTAAGCATTTTTTTTTTGCAAGATGCTGTATGGGGCTAATATTTCAGTTTTGCACAGGACTATGCTCTTTAATGATAACAAAAAAGTTCCAACACTCTATCAACTATTTTTTAACCTGCTGAAATGAAGCCCATTAGTTCCCATCCTTCATAAAAAGGAAAAATATCTAGGTAAACAGAGAAAGCTGCCTTCTGATATTTGCATTTTGTCCCTGTTGGAAATAGGAGTTCGCCACTGATATTTTAAAGAAGATGCAGAAGGGCAGATGCCAAGAGGGGATTAGTGAAACTGTCACCAGAGGACAGATTCTGTTTCCCTGACAAGATAGGAACCACTTTCAAGCTGTTTAAGTTGTGAGTATTTCCAACTGTTGCCAATTCTTTGAAAATTAATTGTAGATCTGAAATGGCTGTTTTTAAATAATTCATTAAAAAAAAATCCAAAGGAAAGTAGCAAACGTAGTGAGAAACCCAGCAAAGTACAAAGAAAAGGGTCAAGCCTGTTCTAGTTATCCAACTGCTTTCCTTACTCCTAGAGTATTTAATTAGGTCTGTCTGACTGTTTGTCCCTGGGTTGATTTTGTTCTTTCAAGAGAGCTGTTGACCTAATACTATATTAAAACACACTGAGCAGTAGTTTCTCCATGATTCCTGAAAACATTTGTAAATGCCATTACATTGGCAATGAAGTTTTTTAAAAAAGCAACTAAAACTAACCACCTACTGACTTGATAGTGAAACTCATACATTTATAATTTTTTTTTTAATGTTACTGAATAGCCTTTTAGTTCTACCAATTACAGAGACCAGTTAGACAGCATCGTTTAATGTAGGCAACTAAATGCCCTGAAGATCCTTAACTATAAAAACAAGGGCTTCCGCAAGTTTTTGGAGATTCTCCCAACCAGACAATTAATTGAACTAATTCAACAGTGCCTTTGTAAAGTTTATAGCTCCTGGAATTATTGTCATGCTTACAGGAGCATTTTAAATGTTACATCCTCAAAACTTCAAGACCAATTAGTTTACTGGAGAAGGAGACTGCTTGGTTGAAAATTATTCTCTGTGTGTGTGTGTGTGTGTGTGTGTGTTGTGTGTGTGAGTGTGTGTGTGTGTGTGTGTGTGTGACAGAGAGGGGGTGGGGTGGGGTATGCATTTGCTGATCTCTCATTTTCAGGAATAAGCTATTTCTGGGAATCTAATTAGTAACTTATACCCTAGAGAAAACGCTGCTGTTTGTTCAGCCCTTTTCTCCCTACTAAACTCAAAGATGTTCTTCTTTCCTTTACATAGCTCACAATTTGTGGGTGTAGTCAGGACCTGAGAAACAAATGGACTCAATAGTCCTGTAATGAGAAGAGCTGAATTTTTATATAGCTCTATTAGACTTGTTAAATACTCCAAGAGTTTAGAATCAAAAGCTGTTCCAACATGCACTCCTTCAATTATTCAGAACACCCATCTTATTTGTTTTGGGTAGTTGTTTTTTTTTTTTAGCATAACTCCCCTCCCCACCCTTTTACTCTACCAAATATGTTTCAGTTTTATACTGTTATTGAAAGAGAGTCCTTCAAAGATGACATTCTAAAATATCCATCTGCTCCTTAAATGCTATCATGTCTCTTTTGTTTTCCCAAGTCTCCGATGAGAAGATATTTGTCACTTAATTGCTGCTGAGGATCACAGATGATGGTTTATAGGTTTAGGCAAATTGCAGGCAGCACTTTGTTAACAAACGGAAGAGCACAATGGTACTTCGTAATTATCCTATGGAGCTCAATTGGCCCTTAACGGCACCTGCACGTACAGCATCAGGGAGTCTTGTTTCAACACAAAAGCTCCTTCTTGTTAATTAACCTGTGTGCACTTGTTACAAATGAAACCTATTTGTTTCCATTTAATATATCTGCAGCTAGTTTAAATATTCATTTATTATTATGCTTGTTAAGTGAGGAGAGGAGAAGAAGAGTTTGGATGACTTCCATTAATATGCATTGAGCTGAAGGAGGGGGGTGGCTAATAGACTGATATCAAATGTGCTGCTTTGTGCTCAGTGGGCCCCTAGACCAGTTAAGAAGAAGGAATATCTCTAACTCACAAAAAAATCAGATAGGAGGCGGGTGAGATAAAAAAGTGTCAAAGATGGTAACATTTTTTTTTAAACCAAAGGGAGATTTTCCTGAGTGATACATGTAGCCTGTGTTAACTTTGATTTCATTTCTCAAGCTATCATGTGACCTTTTCTTCTCCATAAATGGCTCTGTACTGATGCAATTAGATAATTTGAGTCAGACTAAATAGTTCTATCAGTTTTTTTTCAACAGGAAAAGGGTGAATTGTTTACTTGAGAATTTGGTGATCTAGCCAGTTCTCTCAGAAAAAAAAAAACCATTCGATTTAAGACGCAGAAGGAATGCATAGAGTAACATTGCTAAGTGTCAGTGTCAGGATTGTTAAAAAAGAAAGATGCTTTTTAAAGTATATTCTATGGGAAGGCCCAAATCACAACAGCACCCACTTCTTTTAAGTGTAGCACCAGTATTTCCATTCAAAACATTTATATTCTTGACACCTGGGGGGCAGGGGGATTTTTTTCTGTAATTGATTTTATTTACTATTTTTCTCACCCTAAAACATTTTGAAATTCATGTCTTGAAAAAAAACCCTGAGGGGAAAAAGTTTTTGCAAGCTGAAAAAGACTTTACTGCTAATTGGCTAGGATTCTTCAGGGATTTGTAATTTTGGCCATCAAGATACTCTCTTCACCAGTAGAGATAGCAATACTCTCTTTGAATTAGACTTTGAGAGGGGCTGTGGCTGAAAAATTGTTCATATTGTGGCCAGTCTGGTGCCTAACCTCTCCTCACTCAGCTAAGCTGATACCGAGATGTCCAGGTAACACATTTTATTGGTAAGAAATTAATGTAGTTAAAACTTTTACTTAACAAAATGCAGGTACTCTAAATTTTAAAATGTCAGAGCTTAAATTGTTCTCTTTAGAATTATATATATATATATATATATATATATATTATATATATATATATATATTCCTTTTTATTGCTTAAAAATGATGTCTATTTGATTGCAGTTCAGTTCTCTACATTTCATACTGAAAAGAGTTCGAAATACACTCAGCTATTGATGAGGGCAACATTCCCACAGCCACTAATCAATTACTTTGATTCTTTCGTTTTAAAATCAGTCCAATAATGCATTTTAGAATAGGTCAATACCACCTGCTAGATAGAGTAATACATCTAATTTGTTTCTATTCATCATGTTTATGTAGTTAAGACCCATATTCTTAAAATTTCAACTTGCCACTAGGAATGAATGATATGCAAAATTGACAGAAGAATTTATAAAATTACCAAATGTGTATAGCATTTTGGAAAAATGAAACACATTTCTGCACCCTGTCTTTTTATTTTTTACACACACCTAATACCTTGTGGATATAATTCATTTGACATCTCTGGAAATAAAAGTTCAGTATTTATCTGTTTTGAACCCTTAGTCCTGCTGTGACAAGGGCCTCAAATTTTCTTCTGGCATAAGGAAACATGCTTCCACTTCCAGGAGAGGAAAAAGAAGGCAATTGCTAAATTATCACTAATGGCTATTAAATTTCTTATTTTAGATCATAATTCATCATGATTAAACATTTATTGCATACCAATTGCATGCAAGGCATTGAGGGCATAGTGTTTGAGACAACTGAAGTAGAACTAACAATGCAAGGCATATGATCTCCAAACTGCCCCATGATGGAAGTGGTAATTGCTAACCAATGACAGTTTCAGAATAGGTAATATGGAGGGAAAGACTGGTGGGCCATCCCCAAACTAATAGTAATGATAGCTTGCATTTTTATAGACCTTTACAACTGACAGAGTACTTTTCTCATAGCAACCCTGTAAGTTAGGTAGTGGTATTATCCCCATTTGTAAAATGGGGAAATTGAGGCTCAAGAGCTGAAGTCATTTACCTATAATCCAACAGCTATGAAGCATCAGAGACAGGATTTGAACCCTAACTCTCATCTACAAATCCAGTGCTCTTTTTACTATACAGTGCTAACCAAGGTCATACAGTTGCCTTAATCCATTTAAACCAGTCCTAACCTGGGTTCTATGAACTTTCAAACCTTTTGAAAATAATGGAATATCTCAAAGCCACACACTCTAATGAACAAAACATGCAATGGGCATCAAGACACCTGCCTGTGTTACTTTCCTGTACATCATAGAACACGCATCATAACACAGAACAAAGAGAGAACACCGATTAGGAATCAAAAGGCCTCAATTCTAGTCTTAGTTTGATCACTTAATAGGCAAGTGCTATTAGGGAAGTTACTTAACTTTTCTGGGCTTCAGTTTCCTCATCTGTGAACTGGACAGAATAATTACCTGCCCTATATGTGTCACAGTAATGTCTCAAAGATCAAATGAAGTAGTCTATACGAAAACTCTAGATGAGGGGTTCTTAACTTTTTTATGTTGTGGATTCTTCGGTAGTCAGATAAAGCTTAGGAACCTCTTCTCACAATATTTCTTTTAAAAATTCATAATTTAAGAAAATTCTAAATTTTAGTTAGATGGTAATGAAAATAAATATGTAATTTTTTTCCCACCCAAGTTCAGGTGCCAACTGAAATCTCTATGGACTCAGATTCAGAACCCCTGCTCTAGAACAATGCATAAATATAGAGCAGCATTAGCTATAATTGCTCAGATTTCTTGATTGCTCTATCATTTTCTTTAGACTTAACAGGAACGTCCTGAGAAAAAACAGTAAGGTGACAGTTTCCACTGTCACTTCTCCTGTGCCCCAACCACCACTGTCGTCCTAAGGTAACGGAGGTCTGTTAACTCTTGCATTTAGTGCCCTGCTCCAATAGTAAATCTATCATTCCTATGTCATAAAATCTGGATCTTAGGGATTTGTAAGTTCCTTAGGGAAGCATTAAATCCCTGAAAGAAAACCAGGTGAAAGGAAGTGTATTGTTCTCAAATATTACAGTATGTTTTTCTTTATAAATAGACATACTCCTCATGTACTTGAACTTTCTGTACTATGGGCCACATTTTGTTTCGTGGGCAGGTGTGCTATTTAGTGAAGTGCCTATAAATGTAAGGCAGAATGCACATGTATTTCCATCCTATTGCTAAACGCAACATTTATTATCCTGCCTTACTTGAGCCTTAAAGTCAGTCCTGACTTTTGTTCTATACCTGCAAAGCAAGACAGGATTCCTAGACAGTTGTCAGTGACTCAGTTAAGTTCCAAAGTGGCTGCTGACAGCCTCCTCTTCACTCCATTAAGCTAATTAGGTTTTCTCAAGTTCCTCCAGATAGAATGGCCACCTTGGCAGGTTAATTCCAGAGTCAGAAGTTAGGAAATTTATTAGCAGATGCCCCATTTCAATGTAATGAGATAAGCCTTTCCTTAAATCTCTCATAGGTCTACTGTGGCCTAGGAATATTACATGCAGTAGGGATAGGGACTTGTAATTTCATTGATATAGGGCACTCTATGTGAGAAAACTCCCTCTATCAATGCAAATCAGCACCTTATCTGCAATTTATGGTCTTAGAGAATTGTCTAAAGCCCTGTAAGGTTAAACTGTCTTTCCAAGGACCACGTAGCTAATATGTGTCAGAGATGGAATTTGAACCCAGTTTTACTGACTCCTAGATATTATGTGGTAAACATGGTAAAAGGTTCTGGATGTACAAATAGGTATAAAATAGATTCTCTTCCTTGAGGATTTTTTATAGGTGGTAAGATAGAACAGAAATACATAAGGGGTTATAAAGTTGCATGTAAGTACCAAATGAGAGTGACACAGATTGTTATAGTCTTTTTACTGTTGAGATTGCTATAGGATTCAAAGAAGAAGAGAGGAATAAGGGTTGGAATGGTAAGGAAGGCCTCATGAATGTGGCACTTTGGGCTTGGCCCAAGAACTTTAGCATTCCACACTGGGAAAATAAATGAGAAAGGAGTCAAAGGTCAGAAAGTGTATGATATACTGTAAAGTGAAAGGTTAGGTAAAGAGTGGATATACTACATCCTACCTGTCTATTCTGTGTCCATTAATACTGTTTCTGCTGAATTTGTTCTTTCCTGCTTAGTTGAGTGAATAGTCTGAGATGTGAGGGCCCAAGTGAATAAGTAAATTCAGGACATCCAACAGAGCCATTAGAGAATCCACTGGAAACCAGAGCAGTTAACAATGTATACAGAACCCAATAGCAGTAGTGGTGGCTAATAAAAAGAAAGCAATTGCTGACATGTGAAAAGACAATCATCCAAGCCATTCTCCAACTGATAAATGGTCAAAGGATATAAACAGGCAGTTCTTAAGGGAAAAACTCCCAGCTATAAATAACTTTGTGAAAAAATGCTCCAAATCACTTTCCCCAAAGGGAAAGTTTTCGAAGATCATAGACAGTACTTGCACCCACCCCAACACTAGTGAACTGTTGGTAGAGACATGAATTGGTACATAATTCTGGAAAATAATTTGGAACTATACCCTAAAAAGTTACCAAACTATTCATACCTTTTTACCCAGAAGTAGCACTGTGAGATATATAACTCAAAGAAATCACAGAAAGATGAAAAGGATCCATTTGTATGAAAATAGTTATAAGGGATTGCCCATCCACATGTGAATGGCTGAACAAATTATGGTACATGATTGTAAAGTAATACTTTTGTGCTATAAGAAATGATGAAAGGGATAGCTTCAGAGAAACATAGAAAGAGTTGTATGAACTAATGCAGATTGAAGTGAACTTATATAATAACAACAGCATTGTAAAAATGAACAAATTTGAAACACTTAACTCTGATCAGAGCACTGACCAACTATGATGCCAGAATACCAATGATAGGGAATGTCACCTACCTCCTAAAAAGATCATACACTCAAAATGCAGAATGAGACATGCATTTTGGACATAGCTAATGTAGGAATTTTTTTTTTTTGCTTGACTACACATATTTGGTACAAGGGTCTTGTTTTTCTCTTTTTTCCCATGGAAGGCTGAGAAGGAAAGAAAATAAATGCTTGTTAATTTAAAAATTAAATGTAATTAAAAATAAAGACAATCATCTGAGGATGGCATCAATGACCCTTATAACAGGGAAAGGTGCCAGAAATGAACTACATAAAATACTGACCCGCAGAGCCCAGAAGAGATCTACGCCTAAGAAGATTTTTATGAGGGCTCCTTGAAGGAAGCAAACAATTTCTAGATCCAGGAGTCTGGATTTATCCCTTGGGCATACATGTTTTTGAATGTGTGCCTTACTCTTTTTGTTCTTTGAATCCAAGCCCACTCTCCTTGGGGATATTCAAGAGAAGAAGTAAGTCCCCAGGATGGAGGAAATGTTTATGTAACTTCCATTCTTGCCTTCTCAGGAAATCCTTCTTCTAAGAGTTAATGAGGTTCAATGGTGAGGACAACAGAGTTCTGGAGCTACAAGTTAGAAGTCAAAACCCCTTAAAGTTACCTCTAGGATGCTGAGAGGACTATGTATTAACCAGCTTCCCAACCTATGAGTATGAGTGCCATTTTGGGGTGTGGTCCTAAAAGGAAGAGCTATATTTTGTAAGCAATTCTCCTTAACTCAATTTAGTGGGCAGTTATTAAGTGCCTACTATGTGCAAGATATTGCTTACCTAGAGTTGGTTTCTAGCTTTATTATTTATATGACATGAGCCTTCAAACATGAAGGTTTGGGGAAGCCTATGTCCTTATGATAAAAAAGCATAGAAATCATCCCCTGAAATCATGGTAATAATTTTAGTGTGCTATTAACTGGCCCAAAATATGAAGGAAGTAGAATATGTCATCCAGGTCCCAAAAGATATATTTTAGGGTCTAGTGCTATAGCTTTAAATTTTAATTTGATCCCTGAGTCTCAGAGACCAAACTATTAGGGAAATACAAGTGATGTCCTGTTTGAAGGGCCTACTAATGATAGCTCAGGTTATGTTTTTGTGCAACCTAATGAATTTGATGACATTGAAGCTAATGAGGCAGCTGTATAAGGTGATAACAAAAGGGGTGATAATGAGTAGGGACAAAAGGATATGTGACTAAATCCTCTACCCTGTGATGGCAGTTAGCTAGAGAGGCAGTGTGGTGTATTAGAAAGAACACTGCATCTGGAGTCAGGGAATTGAGTTCAAATCTCCCTTCTTACTTACTTACTATCTTTATAACCGATATCTAATAATTTTGTGGAAATTCTGATTTCTTTTCTTCAGAAGGTCTCCAATATATTAATGTAGGTGGTTAAGTAGGTAGAGCAGTGGACCTCAAATTGGGAAGATCTGAATTCAAATCTACCTTCAGACTTGTATTGGCAATGTGATTCTGGGAAAATCCCTTTCCCTTCTCCTTTCCTAAAATGAAATATAGTACTTCTGCATATGTGGTGTGATGAGAGCTGAATACATTGAGATTATAAAAATAACTGACCTCTAGATAGTTCTTTATGATTTGCAAAGTACTGCATATACTTGTCTGTTTTTATTCTCACAACAATCTTGTGAGGTCAATAATACAGGTGTAATTATATCTATTTTCTAGATGGGGAAAGTAAAACTTAGGGGTATGTTGGTAAATATGTAACAGTGGGCTTTCGGGGGGGGGGTGATGTGCCCATGGCACTTTTTTTCATGTTACGCTTTTAAGTTTAATCTGCATTATTACCATTTTCTCTATCATTTTCTTAATTAAATCTAGAAAATCAATAAAACAATAAATCAAGCCTTGATTTGTAGCATTTGATGATTTCTGAGGTATAAATGCTCACAGTGAAAATTGGAACAGGCTCTATCCAGCACACATTACCCCCATATTCTCCACTCCCCCTTAACTCCCAACCCAGCTAAACAGAGTTAAGTGACTTGCCCAGGGTCGCAGGTTGGATTTGAACTTAGAAAGATGAGGCTTCCTGATTCTGAACCCAGTGCTCAATGCATTGCATCACCTAGCTGCCCCATCATTGAAATAGAGGTTCTTAAAATATTTTTATGTGTATTTCATGGACCCTTTGGCATCTGGTGAAGCCTATGTACCCCTTCTCAGAATAATGTGTTTAATTGCATAAAATAGAATATATCAGATTATAAAGAAAATCAATTCTATTGAAATAGTTATCAAAATATATGTTTGGAAAAGTTCTCACTCCAGTTTAGGAATCCCCTGCTTAGAGCTTCTTGAGGAAGACAGTGATATGGTCAGAAACATGCTATAAGAATATCCCTTTGGGGAAGCTAGGTGGAGACCTGAGTTCAAATCCGGCCTCAGACTTGACACTTACTAGCTGGGTGACCCTGGGCAAGTCACTTAACCCAATTACCTAACCCTCCCCCCCAAACAAGGAATATCCCTTTGGGGTTAGCTATTTGGCACAGTGGGTAGAGCTCCAACCCTGGAGTCAGGAGGACCTGAGTTCAACTGTGACTCAGATACACAATACTATCTGTATGACTCTGGACAAGTCACTTACCCCCATTGCCTGGCCAAAAAAAAAATATATCACTTTGGCAGGTGAGTGGAGGATAGATGGGAGAAGGCAGAGACTTGAGGCAATGAGCCTAATTAGGTGGCTATTGCAATAGTGATGGTGAGAAGTGATGAGGGTCTGAACTAATGGCCATATGAGTAAAGAGAAGGAACCAGATAATAGAGAAGTTGGATTAACACAATTTGGCAACTGCTGGATATGAGGGGTTAAGGAGACAGAAGGGTTAAGAATGATTCAAAGTTTGTAATGGGGCAGTTAAAGAGATTGTTTCTAGGAGAAAGATAATGA